AAAGTTGGACCATAAGGAAGGCTGAGCGCCAAAGAATGGAGGCCTTTGGACTCTGGTGCTGGAGAAGATCCTGCGAGTCCCTTGGACTGCAAGACAATCAAATCGGTCCATCCTAGAGGAGATCAACCCTGAATGCTCTTTAGAAGGCCAGATCCTGAAGAAGAAACTCAAATACTTTGGCCACCTAATGAGAAGGAAGGACTCACTGGAGAAGAGGCTCATGCTGGAAAAGATTGAGGGCAAAAGAAGAAGGGAGCGACAGAGAATGAGGTGGCTGGATGGAGTCACTGAAGCAGTCGGTGTGAGTTTAAATGGACTCCGGAGGATGGTAGAAGACAGGAAGGCCTGGAGGAACGTTGTCCATGGGGTGATGATGGGTCGGACACAACTTCGCAACTAACAACAACAATCTTTTATGGGGTTATGCCGTTCAACAGCAAAACTGCTGCCTTCAACAAGAATATATATAAATACCAAAGGAGATTTTGTAATACATAATTCTTCTGCTGTCATGAAAAAAGATGGCTATAGCTTAGACAGATTTGAAAGCTCAGTTTGGAAGTAAAATCCCTGGATGCTTAGTATCATGTATATTCAATCTTTATTCTCATGTACTACTGTACGTCAGTTACCAAACCTCTGGATAAGATCTATGATATCATTCAGTTCCCGCTGTGCCTATAAGCTGCAGATATTTTGAATCTGCCAATTCAGTGGGCTGTGAAGGTGAGGGGTGGGGGTCCCTTTGAGATGGAGTCAGACAACAGTTTTGAACTCCCATCATCTTATGCATTTTTTACTCATCTCCCCAGTCATTTTTCAATTGGGCTGTCTACTGCCCTGTCCATGGTGCTGAACATCCCAAATGGAGGTATACGAACATTGGGGTAGAGCTGGAAGATTAATTGCCAAGAGCCCTGGTGACACAGTGGTTGGGATGCAGTTTTGCAGGCTAATTCTGCCCACAGCCCAGAGTTTGTCTTGACTGGCTCAAGGTTGACTCATCCTTCCATCCTTCCAAGGCTGGTAAAATGAGGACTCAGAGAGTGTTATAAGGAGATATGGGATTGCATATAAGTGCTATTGCTAATTAAGACCTTCTGTGTTCATTACAACAGTCCTTTTGGATATTGCTTGAACCCGGATTCTTCTCCGTTCTCTTCCTTCCAACTGAATTCTACCACATCGCCACAAAATATGTTATTGCCACTTATTTGGGACCTTGTACGCCTCTTCTCCCCAAGACAGATTGCTGAGCTGGGCAGCTGAAAATCAGCAATTTGGCTACTGAGTTTTAGCAAAGCAATCTAGAGGGTCTCTGAAGTCACCAAATTGGAGCTGGGGAGCTATAAGGGATCCGTGAATTAATCCATCTACAACTGAAAATTAAAATGAGATATTAGAAGGTGGGAAAGTATTCTGCTGAGGTTTAACCATTTGTTAAAAAGCACATAATGGGAAAATGAATAGAGGATGCAGTGAAGTGTTTGGTGGGGGGGGGGGGCTTACCAGCCTGAAGGCCTTGGATTCTTCACCCTGATTCTGTATATAAGGTGGAGTAGCCTCAAGGACTGATGTACACTGAGAAAGCTTTAACATGCCAAACTTGGCAACTATTAACATTGGACTAATCAGCTCATTATGAACAAGAAATTGGACTGATTCAATCTAGTCATTCAATCAATCAATCAATCAATCAATCAATCAATCACCAAGTTGACTGTGTTGTATGAACATTACCTGTTTGGCAAGCTTTCTGAGAGACTCTGGCCCTTTTCCCAGACCTCCTTAGCTGACTCAAGTAGAGACGTGTCATGAGAATATTAAAATGGATCAATTGACACAGTTAAGGGATCAGAAGAGTTCCATTGAGTCCCAAGTATATTTAGATAGTCCTCAACTTACAAGGCCAAAATTGTTGTTGCTAAGCAAAACATTTGTTAAGTGAACATTGCCACATGTTATGCCTTTTTGTGCCACAGTTGTTAAGTGAATCACAGCAGTTGATAACCTTCTCCAGGTTCTCATATATCATCTTCCTGATGTTGCTTTTGCTTGGCTCTGCTACAGCTATTACCACTGCTGTCTTCTGCTCTTTATCTACTACTACGATGTCTGGTTGATTGGCTAGTTACCCACCTGTCCATCTGGATCTAGAAATCCCACAGGATCTTAGCCCACCTTTGTTCCACAACCTTCTGTGGAATCTCCTATTTGTATTTAGTAGACTCTATAGACCATATCCTGTGCACAGTGCCAGCTACTTGTTTATGTCATTCAATGTATGACATATGTTTCTTGTCTCTTATTGGCACTACAATAGTCTTAACATCTCTAATTATAAAAATTAAAAATATTTATTAATTTAATATAATTTTATTATTATCATTTTTATTTCTCTTTTATTATGTCTTAACAACTCTGCTAACAGTTCTACCGTAACTCTACAGTATGGAACTGGTTTACCATTGTATTATTCTGCATTTCTCTTCCCCCCACTCCGCTATTCTTCTCTCCAGCGTAAAGCCCTGGATTTTCTGATTTTTTTTAAGCAGCCTCCTCTAGCTTTTTCAGTTACTGTAGGGGTTTCTACTTGCTGTAATGAATACATGTCTGTTGTAAAAAGCACTAGCTGCAAAATATACATCAGATAGTAAAAAGCTTCCTTGGCTGAGATAAAAAGAAAAGAAGAATTAAAGACTTTGCAGGGAACACAAGTATTACTTGTCTGAATATTTTTATTTCATTTTCATTTTCATTTTC